ATATTTGATAGCACACCCCCCTGGAAAAAATAACTTAAATCAGCTGCTTTCTGTACCTATCAATGAGTTTCTTACACCTCTCTACTAGAATTTTGGACCACTCTTCGTTCAACAACTCCAGGTCTCTCATATTGGAAGGGTTCCTTTTCCCAACTGCTGTTTTGAGATCTCGCCACAGATTCTCTACGGCACAAGGCCTGCAAGCTGCATCCAGCCCCCTAGGCCATTTCATGTAGCCCTTGCACCTCTCCTGCAGGTTCCCCCTGTCTCCACCCCCACCTTGTCTCAACAGTCGGAAGCAAAGAGAATAGAATGTTTAAATTAGTATCAGTGTCAGTTAGTGGCAGGATAAAAAAGCAAATTGCTCACTATTGTTTCTGGGCTGTACTACAGCTACAAACAACAGCTAGCATACACCCATGTGGTATTGCTGCGATCGTCAGGAACAATAGAAATTATTTTGGGTTGTTCTTTGGTGGTAGGTTATGGTAGTAGCAAGAAATATACAACTACATTAAAAAAAAAATCAGGAGATATCCATTTACATTTACCAACAAATGAAAGCCCAATTTGTCCTGAAAAAAAAATGCGGTATAATCCACCTGGATGCAAAAAGTAGTTGTGATGATATGTACAGTTTTGTTAACACATGTCAAAGTTGCAAAATGTGTGCATTAAGATTTGCTTTACACTTAGGCGCGAAGGGGTTAAGTTAACCAATGCATAGTGTTTCTGCTAAATTAGATCTAGGCTAAAGCTTACTTGATTACTAGACCTTTCAAATCGGTTGCTAACAAATTGTGCAAAATAAATATTTAGCCGTGGATCTGTAGGCAAAAAAATAGATCTGGGCATTTAACTCCTGGTCATAAAAATTGGATAAAAAACACTCATAGACCACAATTTTTTTTCTCATGGATGCTCATTAGGATAATTTCATGGGGTCATCAACCGAATAATTATTTATCTCACTGAGCCCTGGTTCACACATATGTGCCCTGAAATGTATGCATGCGTTTCTGTGTGAATAGCATTGCGGTTTGAGTGCGAATTCACCAGAGGTGCGATTTTGGTTTCTGCATTGCCATTGACTTCAATGCAAAATTTGCTTTTCATTGACTTCAGTGCAAAATCACCTTCCACTGACTTCAATGCAAAAATGCTTTCCATTGACTTGAATGCAAAACCGCCTTCCATTGACTTGAATGCAAAACCGCCTTCCATTGACTTCAATGCAGAAATGCCTGTCAGTCTCAATCCTACAGTTGCAAGAAAAAGTATGTGAACCCCTTGGGATTACGTGGAGTTTTGCATGAATTGGGCATAAAATGTGCTCTGAACGTCATCTAAGTCACAACAATAGAAGAACACAGTCTGCTGAACATAATACTACACAAACATTAGATGTTGCCATGGTTTAATTGCACATAACATGTAAACATTCACAGTGCAGGGAGGAAAAAGTATGTGAGTCCCTAGCTTAATGACTTCCCCCAGAGCTAATTGGAGCCAGGAGTGAGCCAACCTTGACTCCAATCAGTGTGGTGATATTGGATGTGTTGCTGACAGCTGTCCTGCCCTTAAAAAAACACACACCTGTTTTGGGTTTACTGGTTTCAAGAAGCACTGTCTGATGTGAACCATGCCTCGCAGAAAGAGCTCTCAGAAGACCTACGAAAAAGAATTGTTGACTTGCATGAAGCTGGAAAGGGTTACAAAAGTATCTCCTTGAGCCTTGATGTTCATGTGTCCACGGTAAGACAGACTGTCTACAAATGGAGAAAGTTTAGCACTGTTGCTACTCTCCCTAGGTGTGGTCATCCTGTAAAAATGACTGCAAGAGCACAGCACAGAATGCTGCATGAGGTAAAGAAGAATCCCAGAGTGTCAGCTAAAGACCTACAGAAATCTCTGGCACATGCTAACATTTTTGTTAACACATCTACAATAAGGAAAACATGAAACAAGAATGGAGTACATGGGAGGACACCACGGAGGAAGCCATTGCTGGCCAAAAAGAATATTGCAGCACGTTTGAAGTTTGCAAAAGAGCACCTGGATGTTCCACAGCACTACTGGCAGAATATACTGTGGACAGATGAAACCAAGATTGAGTTGTTTGGGAAGAACACACAACACTATGTGTGGAGAAAAAAAGGCCCAGCACACCAACATCAAAACCTCATCCCCACTGTAAAACATGGCGGAGGGAGCATCATGGTTTGGGGCTGCTTTGCTGCCTCAGGGCCTGGACAGATTGTTGTCATTGATGGGAAAATGAATTCCAGAGTTTATCAAGACATTTTTCAGGAAAACGTACGACCATCTGTCCGCCAACTGAAGCTCCGCAGAGGATGGGTGATGCAACAGGACAATGACCCAAAGCATACAAGTAATTCAACAGAACAATGGCTGCAACAGCACAGAAAACGCCTTCTGGAGTTGCCCAGTCAGAGTCCTGACCTCAACCCCATTGAAATGCTGTGGCATGACCTTAAGAGAGCGATTCACACCAGACATCCCAAGAATATTGCTACACTGAAACAGTTTTTTGAAGAGGAGTGGTCCAAAATTACTCCAGATCGTTGTGCAGGTCTGATCTGCAACTACAGGAAACGTTTGGTTGAGGTTATTGCTGCCAAAGGAGGGTCAACCAGTTATTAAGTCCAAAGGTTCACATACTTTTTCCTCCCTGCACTGTGAATGTTTACATGTTATGTGCAATTAAACCATGGCAACATCTAATGTTTGTGTAGTATTATGTTCAGCAGACTGTGTTCTTCTATTGTTGTGACTTAGATGACGTTCAGAGCACATTTTATGCCCAATTCATGCAAAACTCCACATAATCCCAAGGGGTTCACATACTTTTTCTTGCAACTGTATGTGAATCTGACCTCCACATTCCATTCTACTCTATCTCACTCACCACTCCAAACTCACACAGGACCCTTTTTGGAATTGCACTCAAAACACAATGCTTGTGGATATCAGTGTGAACCACCTCAATAGGAACACATAATATCTACCCCTTTGAGAATGTGTGTTTCGCTCGAAACATGTCGGGAATCCCTCAATTTGATGCTTTTTTCTTCTGATGACTGCTTTTTTATGAGGAAAGCCTGAAAGCCATTACTGTTTTTACATGTGAGTGTCCTGCAGTTTATTTTGGATTCAATTATAATAAAACGATACTACACTATTAGCATCATTTTGCCTCCCTGGCTCGTTACTTTGCGAGCCCTCTAAGGTGGAGCAGTTTCAGGAGTCTGGACGGCGTTGGACCCTTTGGTGAGTCTGAAGTGACCCCCAGCGTGAGTGACATCATTCCTGGGAGTCCGCTACAGCCCCAGATGACGCCATACCGGTGACCAGACCTTGACGTCTTCACGGATTATTTACATACAACGCTCAGTTTGTATGTACTTCTGGTAAGTGCATTATTGTACTATTACTTCACGGAACACCTAGGATTATATTGCACCATTTGGCCTCAACAGCGATTGGAACACCATCTTATTTGGGACTCATATGTACCATATATGAACACTTTTATGAAGTTATATCATTTCTTGCTCTTTATGGTTATTACCACAATTCTAATTTTAGCGCTGCATATTCAAGACTGTTATTTTATTACTGAGGTGCTGAGGTATACCTTTATATGCTAGCAGATCCCTATTACTATCTGCCTAATCTGTATCAAGTTGCGCTTGTTCACTTTTGTTTATTCTGCATAATATCTAGCCTGTCATGCAAATCTGTGTATTTGAAAATGCATCCAGAATCACATATCTGTGAACCAGGCACTGCCGGACAAGGTCACCCAGCGCACAGAGCAAAGACGCCAAACTGCACCCCCCTGTCAGCCTTGCAACAAAAGGAAGGCGCCCATCCCTACAGTAAACCATTGTGCCCAGGGCAGCCACTCCTTCTGCCCACCCCTTGTCCCAGCCCTGAAGCTCATGGAGTATGCAAGACACATAACAAGTCTGGGGCTGACTCGGCACACCAGGCTTTGCTTTTTTCTAAACGATGACTTTTGGGTTTACTGGCCCTTCAATGAAACTATAATGCCCTATAAATCAAAGAGAACTACATCTGCAGGCCTAGAGACTCATTCACTTCTTTGTCACGTAGCCATAAGCCAGTTCCAGCTTAGAATAATCCAATAGAAGTGGAAATGCCGGACTCCAAACAGCAATTTTTTTTAAAATGTTATTGCTACTATCAGTGCTTAGAAAGATCATAGGAAAACAGGGTATTCATCAGGAGCTCTGGGAATTGAATGAAACTCCCATTTAAACCCATCATCCTGATAGTCTTCCATTTTATCCCTTCTGTGTTACATTTGGGTTTTTTTATCTGCATAATTATACTAACTCACCAACTGATCAGTCTTTTGTATTTGAATGGTCTATATATGTATCTATATAGTCCTCCCGCGCGCTAAGTCACCAATCTCTATATACAGCTGCCAACACCTACCATATACCACAATGGAACAATGCTAAATGAAAAATAATCGGTGCTGCGCTAATAATAATAATATACCGTATTTTTCGCTCCATAAGACGCACTTTTTTCCCCCAAAAAAAGGGGGGGAAATGTCAGTGCGTCTTATGGAGCAAATATAAAATGGCCGTCCGGTATTTCTGCCGCCACCATGTCAGAATACCGGGCCGGCCGCTCAGCTGTTCTCTCCTGCAGGGCCTTACCTGTTCCACGGTCCAGCGCTGTACAGTCTTCCCGCGCTGGCTTCTGTGGCAGCCGGGTGCCCACTGCGCATGCGCTGTGCTTTGTGAATGGTCAGGTGTCTTCTGGGACACGACAGGTCCCAGAAGGCGCCGGACCATTCACAAAGCGCAGCGCTTCTCGCGCATGCGCAGTAGGCACCCGGCTGTCACAGAAGCCGGGGAAGAAGAGGGAAGGACAACTCCGAGAAAGTGGGAGCGGGTACCTGTCAAATTCAGGTACCCGCTCCCCCTCCCTCCCCAAAGGTCAGCAGTCTCTGGTCATCTCCTTTACTGTCTGCAGTCTTTGGTCATCAACCTTTACTGTCTGCAGTCTCTGGTTATTCCCTGCACTGTCTGCAGTCTCTGGTCTGTACTGTGTCCCTGGTATTTTCCCTGTACTATGTCTCTGCTCATCTCCTGTACTATGTCCGCAGTCTCTGCTCATCTCCTGTACTATGTCCGCAGTCTCTGCTCATCTCCTGTACTATGTCCGCAGTCTCTGACCATCTCCTGTACCATGTCTGCAGTCTCTGACCATCTCCTGTACCATGTCCGCAGTCTCTGACCATCTCCTGTACCAGGTTTGCAGTCTCTGACCATCTCCTGTACTATGTCTCTGCTCATCTCCTGTACTATGTCCGCAGTCTCTGCTCATCTCCTGTACGTGTCCGCAGTCTCTGCTCATCTCCTGTACTATGTCCGCAGTCTCTGACCATCTCCTGTACCATGTCCACAGTCTCTGACCATCTCCTGTACCATGTCCGCAGTCTCTGACCATCTCCTGTACTATGTCTGCAGTCTCTGGTCATCTCCTGTACTACGTCCGCAGTCTCTGCTCATCTCCTGTACTATGTCCGCAGTCTCTGCTCATCTCCTGTACTACGTCTGCAGTCTCTGGTCATCTCCTGTACTACGTCCGCAGTCTCTGGTCATCTCCTGTACTATGTCCTCTGTCTCTGGTCATCTCCTGTACTATGTCTGCAGTCTCTAGTCATCTCCTGTACTATGTCCGCAGTCTCTGGTCATCTCCTGTACTGTGTCTGCAGTCTCTGGTCATCTCCTGTAGTATGTCTGCAGTCTCTGGTCATCTCCTGTACTACGTCTGCAGTCTCTGGTCATCTCCTGTACTGTGTCCGCAGTCTCTGGTCATCCCCTGTACTATGTCTGCAGTCTCTGGTCATCTCCTGTACTATGTCTGCAGTCTCTGGTCATCTGTACTGTGTCTGCAGTCTCTGGTCATCTCCTGTACTACGTCCCAGTCTCTGGTCATCTCCTGTACTATGTCCGCTGCCTCTGGTCATCTCCTGTACTATGTCTGCAGTCTCTAGTCATCTCCTGTACTATGTCCGCAGTCTCTGGTCATCTCCTGTACTATGTCTGCAATTTCTAGTCATCTCCTGTACTATGTCCGCAGTCTCTGGTCATCTCCTGTACTGTCTGCAATTTCTAGTCATCTCCTGTACTATGTCCGCAGTCTCTGGTCATCTCCTGTACTATGTCTGCAATTTCTAGTCATCTCCTGTACTATGTCCGCAGTCTCTGGTCATCTCCTGTATTGTGTCTGCAGTCTCTGGTCATCTCCTGTACTGTGTCCGCAGTCTCTGGTCATCTCCTGTACTATATCCGCAGTCTCTGGTCATCTCCTGTACTGTGTCCGCAGTCTCTGGTCATTTCCTGTACTGTGTCCGCAGTCTCTGGTCATCTCCTGTACTATGTCTGCAGTCCATTGGTTCAGAATATTTTTTTTTCTTGTTTTTCGCCTCTAAAATCTAGGTGCGTCTTATGATCAGGTGCGTCTTATGATCAGGTGCGTCTTATGGAGCGAAAAATACGGTATATATTATTATTATCAGCGCAGCACCAATTATTTTTCATTCAACCATATATGTATATGGCACTAAAGTGTAAACTAAAGTGTAAACTCTAAGGCTCTATTCACATCTGAGTGTAGTGTTTGTGCATTTTGTTGTGCGTTTTGTCACACGTTTGCAAACATTTGTGCATGATTTGTTCAGGCATTTTCTGCCTTTTTGAGTGCTGACATTTTTGTATTCGCCAGTAATGAAAAATGTCATCTGTGACATCAATTGTTGCCATGTTTTGCCCAGCTAGAAAACGTGCAAAAGTACATGAAAACGCACAATTTGCTTGTTTCCATGTATTTTTATGGGAACAAAAATCCACCAAAAATGCATTAATCTGCCTGAATGGAGCTACCAAAGTAGCTCCCAAACTTTTTTGAGCTTTAGACGTTCTGTTTCAGGCCACTTGGGGAGGAGATGTCAACCATCTCCATAGGGTAATATTGATTTTTTTTTCTCTCTGAGCATTTTGGAGCTTCGAGATACAAAATGCTCAGGTGTGAATGGGGCCTAACAATGAGCTTACTGTATTTGCTATACTATTGAAAACATTTTTCTTTTGTAGCACTATTTGTACACTTTTTGTGGCTACTGGGGTATGATGGCATCACCTGTACAGTATTTAGCAGCAGAGTCCTTATAATCTGTGTGATCAGGACAAGATCTCTAACAAGCGCTAGTGCCTCCACTCAATTGGGGCTTGTGGATAACAAGTGAAATCCCAATTGAGAAATGTATCATCCACATAGACAGTAATCCACACAGCATTGTATATGAAAGCTCACGTATTAAGGAAATAACATTCAGTGAACCATCCAACATAAAGTATCTTCCAAACAGGAACATTAAAGCATTAACAGTCTTTTTTTGCATGTCTCTCAGACACTTACGGTCTGAGCTCTCTCTCTCAGGAAAACCCACACTCAGGGGCGGACTGACAACTCATGGGGCCCCTGGGCAATTGGGGATCATGGGGCCCCTGTGTCCTTGCCCAAACTCAAAAAAGCCTATGAAAAAGGTACCAGGAGCATCTCATGGGGCCCCCTACTGACCCCGGCCCTCGGGCAGTGCCTAAGTTTCCAAATGGTCAGTCCGCCCCTGCCCACACTTCCTCTTTTTTTCACAAGTGCTCACTCTGATGACCTCTTCCTCAGTGCCCAGAGAGCATAGCAGCCATATTGGAAAAGGACAAAACAAACACTGCATAATAGAAGTATACACTGGAAAATGGGCAAAGAAATTATCACATCATTACACTTTGTTTCATAATTTTAAAAAATTACTTCCTTCCAGAAATCCAGTAAACTCCTCACTAATAGGCATCATGCTATCCAGTCTAGAATGGGTTCTAATCATGTCCAGCAGAACATGAGGTTGTACAGCATAGTTCTGTACAGCATAGCAGGGTCTTCCCAAGGTGTCATAAGTAAACATTGGTGGAAGTCATCGAACACAATCTCCTCTCCTCAAGCCGTCAGGCATTAGTCCAGATAAATCTGGGACTGCACTATTGGGAAAACTTGGTGCTCCAATCATGCCTGGAACTGTAGGCACAAAGGTTTGGGCTGTTAGTTCAAAAGCAGGAGTAGTTGGGTCCAGACCTCCCCTCTGAGGAAGGCTCCCATTAGTAATAGTTGAAGGAGCCTTTACAGGAGACTCTGGTGGAGGTGTAAACCAGTCATTGTCATCACACTGTTCTCTACTGTCTGCACAAGGCACATCATTAGAATCTGTAGCAATATCAGGTTGTGGCTCCTCATCCGCAGTAGCAACTTGTGGTACTGGAAGGAAGTATGCCAGGCTTTAATCCGACCCTCAGGTCCTCGAATCAGTAGACTGGAATTCTAGGCATTTTTCTATAACTTCAAACAACTCATTTCTCCAGCGATCAGCTAACTTATGTTTGGCTGAGGGTCCCAAATTGCGAAGAAACACTTTATCACCAGGTTGCAAATCTTTGTAACAAACTTTGGCATCAAAGCCTCTTTTATTGGCAGCATTTATTTTTGCAGCATTTTCCTCAGCCATTCGATAAGCATCTTGTAAACTATGTTTGAGTCGTGCCACATACTGGTAGTGATTTCTATGTTCCACTCCATCATAGACACATGCAACTGAATGTCAATAGGCAAACGGGCTTCTCTCCCAAACATGAGAAAATAAGGAGAGACACCAGTTGACTTATGTCTGGTACACCTATAGACTCTCTAACATGTCTGATTACTGGATCCCTCTTTTATAGAAGAATCATATCTTTCTTTTGCAGCTGGATGTTTTCTGGTACCCTAGATCAGTGGGGCAGCAATACATGTTTGGGATACACTCTTCACCAACTCCCAATGAGTCAACAACTCATAAGTCTGAGAAAACAATATTGTCTCCTTGTATAGCAGCTCTAGCACAGTAGGCTGTCACAGAAGGCCCAGGAACTTCCTGCCATTCACTTTCTCTAAGTTCATTGGCAATCCAGGATGCCTGGAAAGAGCATCAGCCCTGATATTTTTGGGTCCTGGCTTGTACTTGAGAGTGAATTGGTAATTAGACAAGGCAGCAAGCTACCTATGACCAGTGGCATGCAGCTTGGCTGTAGTCAAAACATAAGTGAGGGAGCTATTGTCAGTTCTCACCTCAAACTGAGCCCCATAGAAGTAATCATGCAGCTTTTCAACAATAGCCCACTTCAGGGCAAGAAATTCCAGTTTGTGAACAGGATAATTATTTTCTGCTGGGCTTAGACTGCGACTGATATAAGCAACAGGCCTTAGTCCTCTGCGGCGATAATAGCCACAAAAGCTCAAGAAGGACCTCAGATCTGCCAGATTTGTGGGATGGGCCAGGTTACCACAGCCTCCACTTTAGCAAGATTAGTTGCTACCCCTTCTGCAGATACGATGTGGCCCAGAAAGTTTACTGAAGAACGGGCAAACTTACATTTGTCCAGGGAGAGTTTCAGACCTTCTCTCGTCAAACGATCAAGCACTTTAAACAGTCTCTAATCATGCTCCTCCATTGTGGAGCCAAAAACAATTATGTCATCTAAATAGACAAGACATTGAGTGGGACAAAAGGTCTCCCAGTGTCCGATCCATTAGACACTGGAAGGTTGCAGGTGCACCACTAATTCCCTGAGGCATTCGAGCAAACTGGAAAAACTCCAGGGGGCAAATAAAAGCTATCTTTTCTTGTTCTTCCTCACTTATTGATACTTGGTAATACCTGGATCTTAAGTCCATTACTGTGAACCATTTGCTGCCTTTCAGGGCATCAAGAGCTTCCTCAATGCATGGTAGCGTGTATTGATCTGGGACCATTTGCCAGTTTAGAGTCCTACATATTTGCACTCCACCATTTTTCTTTCTGGCCACCACTATTGGGGATGCATACGGGCTTTTAGACTCAACAATGACGGTTTGATCGTTCAATTTGTGCAAGCACTCTCGAACATCATCCAGATCTCTAGGAGTTATGCGCCTGGATCTTTCTCTAAAGGGGGTGCTATCTGTTAGGCGAATACTATGTTGAATACTTTTAACACACCCGACATCCATGTCATCAGTAGAGAAAACATCATTGTATTCCATTAGCTTCTCTTCTAGTGCTTGTTTGTGCTGTTCAGGACTATCAGCATCATTAAGGTGTAAATCTAATTTGGTTTCTTTCTCCTCGACCATGGCAGGGTAAAAACTAATGGTTTCCACTGGGTAACAATAGGCTACCTCCTGCCAGGCTGGTATTATAACTGGGTATGTGGTAACATTACGTACAGTAACAACATCCATTCTTGGACATTTTAAACAGTAGTCTTTCCTTTCTGGTACTATCTCCCAGCCATTCTTTGCAGCCTCTTTTGGATCAGTCTCTAGCAGGAAAAAGCTACCATTTGCACCCAGTGAAATTTCCACATAAACCCGCAACACTCTCACTCCCCCGGCTGGAAGCTTTATGGGATGCCATGGATTCCCCACACATCCTCCAGGAAGATCAGGAGCAACAGTTTGGC